ATGCTGTAGCCTCAGATTTTAATTTCTGGGAAAATCAGTGGGGAGACAATATATGGATGTCTTATGGAAACAGTACATCGGTGGGTGTTGCTATATTAAAGGGCTCCTTTCAATCCTAAAAAATGTAGTTCATGACTCAGGAAGATGGATAATTTTAGTTGTTGAATTTATGGAGGATATTTTTATTTTAGGTAATATATATGGTCATAGTAACAGCCAAAGAAACACTTCTTTTTGCTGAATTTGAAGAAAAAAATAAATGCCTTATTAAATTCTTTTGTTAATGCTAAACTAATATTTGGGGGTGATTGGAACTGCATAAATTACCCTATTAAAGACTGTCATCCTCAAAGATCCTTAAGAGGCACTTATGGAGAATTTAATCATCTCTGTTTGCACTTAAACTGTTGTGATGTGTGGAGACTAAAAAATCCACATCAAATCCAGTTCACTTGGAACAACAAAGATTTATCTAAGAGCTCCAGGATTGATTTTTGGCTTATTTCAAATGATTTATTAGATAGTGTGGAAGAAACAAAAATAGAACCCTCGGTTTTTTCTGATCATAATATGATCACTTTAGTAATATGCATAAATTTAATTGAAACCAAATTATTGGAAATTAAATAATACACTTTTGAGTGATAACTTATTCAAAGAAAAAGCCATAAAAATTATAAATGAAAATTTGTCAAAAGCCAAAAAAGATCAAATATATTGCAAACATTGGGACTATACAAAATTTCAGATCCGTAATATGGCCATCAAAAGGGGAAAAGAATTGTCTAAGGAAAAAAGAATGAGACAAGACCGAATACTTAAGGAAATAATTTTTATTTATGAAAAGGACGAGCAAACGCAATCTGATATTAATATGTTAATTGAATTACAATCTGAATAGGATAATATCTATCAAAATTTGGCACAGGGAGCCTTCATTCGTTCTAGACGGAAATGGATAGAACATGGTGAAAGGAATACCAAATATTTTCATAATTTAGAAAAAAGAAATGTTAGGGTTAATAATATATATATATATAAACTTAAAATTAATGAGCAGATATCCGAAGATCCTAAAACAATTTTTCATTTTGTGGAAGAATTCTATAAAAAACTATATTCTGCAGTTCTGAAACTGCTGGTGCTGCGGGTCTGGCTTGTGACGTCGGCGCCTGCGCTGTTGTCTCCGCCTACTGGAGACTTTTTCAGGCTTCTGATTGGCCAACATGGCTTTACGGTTGAGATTATATCGCCACCCGTTGGTTTGGCATGCTCTTGACAGTGCTTCATAGCATGCGTTTGCGTTTTCGTGTGGACGGAGATTTTTTTACAAACGGAAGAAGGAAAAACTCTGTTTATAAAAATACCCGTGTACGTGTGGACATGGCCTGAAGCGTTTAGTGCAATGCTGACAATGCAAGCTAACTACTTTAGTAAACAACAGTTTAATTTTTAACAGTTGTTTAAAGTGAATTAACAGTGAAACAGCAAATAATTTAGTATTCACTAATTTTGTATTTCCCTATAGAATATTAACACATACAGGAACATCAAGGTCAAAGATGAGCACCAGACCTAGTACACTGCTGGTGGTTATAGTGTGTATCACGCCCATAACTGTGGTGAGTGTTGCTTAGCTTTGCAACCAATTTGATCTTTATCTAGTGACATCGATTTTATGGAGATTGACTTTACACTCAATTATCATATGATTATTTCCTTAGTAGACAGAAGATAACACCCAAGCTCTACACATATGAGATGACCTCAAATGCTTACTTGACTTTTCTGGGCCATTTCGATCTCAACATGAATAACCAATGGTGTAGAAAGTGTTCGAATTAGTGTTTTAGGCTGCTTTTTCCATGTGAGAAATGTAGGAATAAGTTTAGTCCATTGTTGAGACTTATGTAACTATGATGAGAACATTGAGAATAGCCGCATGGACTCATTAACTCTTTTGGAAGCAAGCATAGACCTCAGAGTCAAACATTGACACATCATATGTCAACTAGTGTAGATTTGCTTAATTACCCAGAAAACTAGTTAATTAGGAAAAACACTGAGGAAATGGGGCCTGGGAGCAAATTCACCATCAGATATGCATGAGAGGTATACATTTCTGCATGTACTTATGAATGTTAGTTATGAGACAACATAAACATGGTTTTCTTTCTTAACTAAACATTGGTTAATGGATAAATGGTTCAGCTAAAATAAGGCTCATATTTTATTTTACTCT